TTATAAAATAAAAATTTTAATTTTAATTAATTATTTAAAAATTATAAATTAATAAAATATATCAGTTAAAATAAACAAAATTTACGTATTTTTAATATTATTTTGACTTTTGAGTGACCAGCAACCAAATTAATATGAAAATACAGAGGGGAGTGCCCTTAAAAGAAAAAAAGAGGAAAAAACGACCCCCGTGCCGTGAAGGAGTGAAGAGCGCCGGTGCTTTGCTTTGCCGTGAAAGCGAAGTTAACGGGCGAGAGAAAAGAGTAATTGCGTTTTTTGTTGTTATGTTCATCAATTAAGAGAGAGAAAGGTGACGTTCACCGGAGATGGAAACACATCTTCTTCCATTTAAGTAACTGATTTTAGGAAAACAGATTCCGACGACAGAGACTGGTTTTAGGGCTTCAAACGCCTTTTTTTTTTTTTTTTCTTTTTTCTTTTCTCGGAGGAAGTTGTGGTGTTGTGAGCCGCTGTTTTTTGAAGTTAGGAAGAGGAAAGAGTTTTGAGGGGATGAGCTGGAGAAGAGTGTTGAAGTCGGCACAGGCACTTGCAGCGCATAGCCTTCTTCTTTGTTTCACGCTGTTGCTGCTTCTCAAGCTCGATCATGTAGCTTCTTACTCTTGGTGGTAAGTGCTTCTTTTTTCTCTCCTTGTAAATCTATGTACCTGTGCGATTTTGGGCGTGATTGTCTGCATATATGCATGTATGTGTTTGTTTGAGTTTGATTTTGGTTGAATTTGGTTCTGAATTGAAGGTTCTGTTCTGGTCGTGTCAGATGGAAGTTGCTCCTTTTTTCTTTTTTTTTTGGGCGACTCGGATGAATTTTTGGAAAGGGGATAGAGTGGGATTCAAATTCCGGACCTTTTTTCCTCTTCAATTTTATCTTTTCGAGATGAATTGTGCAATAGTTTGGGACAGGTGATGCTTGTAAGATTCTGCAGGTGCTTCTGTGCTGTGGGCAAACAGGAAAACTTGTGAGAAAAATGATGTTTTATAAAATTTGGGCAGAATTTATTGTTATAGACTGCAAAAATATCGAAGTCTTCGTCTTGGTAAATGGTTGTTTGGCAATCAATGTAAGCATGCGAAAATACAAACCCTTTCTTCTTTCTAATTTTGATCGTGCTAGAGTGGGATTTGGGAATTAGATGTTGAGTTGATATTCAATCAAGATGGAGCTCAGAGACAAATCTCCTAAACAAATGCACTTGGAACAGTTTGAGGATTTCAAGTAAACTTGATTATCCACAAATTCTTATGTTTCCATCTCAGGGGCGTTTATTTGGTGCCAGTGTCCACTGACATTTGGTTTCGGATATCTTTTAAAAATTCAAGCTTAAAATAAAGCAGCAGGCATGGTACTTCAGTATCTCTTCATAGGCACACACGAGGCTGTTTTAAAGCTATATGTTCATATTCTTGCCTTAGAAGCAATTGCTTATTTGTTCAACAGTTGAAACATGAAGATTATAAAGTGAGGATTCTTTTATGATGTCATGATAAAATATACTGTGATGACCATTTTTTTTGTCTGCAAATCTTTTTACTAATGGGAATCTGAAACTAACTACACTTTATGATTGTCCAACTAAAGGAGTAACTTACTAGAAAAAAAGTAAAAGTATAATTCAATATCACCTCTCCTTGATCTCTTTTTATTCCAGGAAAATCAATTATGTACAGATTCTCTGGCTTTGAGCTTAAGCTTATGAATCAGCAAATAAGATATGGCATGGCTTACTTGAATTTGTGGATTGATTTGATGTAGTTTTATTACTATCTCCAGAACCATGATATTAATTTGGCTTTGACAATTTGTTTTAGTAAAATCCTTGTCCACGGCTATTTTAAGGTAAAATAATTTACAATACGTAGTGGGTTTGATATGCAGGATAATATTTTTCCCGCTTTGGGTATTTCATGCAGTTGCTGCCCGAGGAAGGTTTTCATTACCTGCTCCATCAGTTCCACATAATCGTCAAGTATGTTAGTGTATTACTATGTTCTATGTATTTTGTTTCAGTTGATCATCTTTGATGTAATAACCATCTAAAAAACTGTTTGAATGATGTGAAATATTATCAGGTTACACTATTGATGTTTCTTTTCTTGGACAGTGGGCACCTTGCCATTCTATTGTTGCAACACCGCTGCTTGTTGCATTTGAGCTCCTGCTTTGTATATATCTTGAGAGTTTATATGGTAAAAGGCTAAACCTTCTGGGAATTGAATGCCAATTTCTTACCCTTTAAATTTCATAGACATACCATTTAACTAGTCTAATGGATATTATTCTTGTATGATAAGACATGTTCAACTTGTAAAACTTAATAACGACCTCTTTTTGTTACAGTTAATGGTTTTCCCACTGTAAGCTTGAAGATTGTCTTTCTTCCCTTGTTGGCATTGGAAATAGTTATTCTAATTGACAATTTCAGGTATTTCATTTGTTATATAACTTCATCCATTGTTCCATTCTTAGTCTATTGAGAAATCATGCACAAAAGTTGCCATCATAAAGATTTGCAATTCTAATTCATGCCTTTATTTGCTTGGCTTAAGTCAATTTTAACCAAACTTTGTTCTTTGACTTCAGCAGGTTCTTATGCTAATTCTAACTTCTAGCAATGCTATTTATTTGTTATTCAAGATTTCCCTTTTCCTCTAGTTCCATTTTACTCTAAACAAGGAAAGAAATTTTATGAAGAATAAAATGAGATGGTATCAAACATATAATCTTGCAAAATATCTAGGTTTTTTGAAAAAATGATGTCTTGGGCATATGTCTTGTAATTTGTAATGGATAGGATCTTGTTGTTTTCTTGTATTTTCTTCTTAGCTTGGAGATACTTCATTTGAAGGTATATGTGGATTAGGATAATAATGAGGAAGTAAGCCTCTGAATTTTAAACATATCTTCTTCCTGCTGTTTGCATATGGTGTGGTGATTCACTTTTCAGTTACTTCTGATTAATCACGGTTCATGCTAGTTGTTGGTCTCTATTTTTTCTTCAGAATGTGTAGGGCCCTGATGCCAGGAGATGATGAAAGCATGAGTGATGAAGCAATATGGGAGACACTGCCTGTAAGTTCTATTGAAAGTTCTTGAGAAATCCTTATCGGCATGGCTTTTGTTCACAATTATCTTAAAGATTTCAGGGAATACAAATGCAAAAAGAGAGATACTATATATGTAAATTGTGAGGAGATTGATTGCTGTTGTTTACTTTCAGCATGCCCCAATTCTTTGAAGTCTTTTCTTTGTGTGATGGAAATGGATTAGTACCCATGCAATAATGTGTGTATATGTTGTTATTATTGTAGTTACAATCACGGATACTGTAAGGACTCAGTGGAGGGACTATATTGATTATATTAAAATTGATTTTTAAATGAGCTTAATATAGACTTATGCTATTCATCTCAGACAGAATGAAGTGTAGGCAAGTGGAATTCTGTTAGTTCATCCTTGGATAGAAGGATGACTGTTAATGAAGTTCATATATGTGATTTGCAGCATTTCTGGGTTGCAATTTCCATGGTCTTCTTTGTGGCTGCTACAATCTTCACTCTTCTAAAGTTATGTGGTAAGTTCTATTGTACTCAAATTGAGGTCGCAGATCAATTTCTTTTACCCTGAATATCTTTTTGTTGTAGTATCCTTACCCTCAGGTTTATAGAATTCCAGGAAGCATTTTTTCTTGTAAAGGGGGTAAGTTAAGTGGAAATGATAATCCAGTAGACTATTTGTTACTGTAGATTATATGGGTTAATAAGGGCTTACCCCGTGCCAGCAATGCTTTTCTTAGTATTAGTGCACCTTGCCCCTTTAATAATACTGTGCTTGGTGAAAGATTACCATCAGTTAATTTTTCCTGTTCTCTATTGTGGTAGAATTGGCACTGGATAAGGACCTTCATTATTTTGAAATTGATAAAGCCTTCCATCCTCCTTGTAGATTGATAGTTTTGCTTTGCTGACTTTTCTTTATATGAAACTGTTGTTGTTTTCACAGAGGTTTGCCTGTGAGTGTCTCTACCAGGAGCTTGGTGTTTCTTTCACTAAAGAAAATTTATGCTTAAAGGTTTTACTGCTCTAAACAAAATGAACTGAAACAGGGTATTTCATCTAGTAGATTCCTTTTTTGCAATTTAGGCATAATCATTATCTGAGAGGTGTAATTAATTGCAATATATTTGTTTTTGGAATTGTTTTGCCTTTATGGGATTGTGGCTGCACTTTATTGTTACTCAAATCAACAAAAGCACTGCATGTGACACACACAACTTTTAAAAATTAAAATTGAAAACATGTTTGGAGTTTGTCTTGTGTCGGATCATAATATGATCAATCTTCCTGCTGGGGGGGGGAGGGGGGTTGTGTTTGTGTTTGTTTTGTTAATTCGTTTCCTTGTGAACTGTTTGTGCTTATCATCTACCGATGCTGCAGGTGATGTAGGTACTCTTGGCTGGTGGGACTTATTTATAAATTTTGGGTATAGCTTTCTTGCTTCTAGTGTCATTAATTTTTATTTTGACTATTTTTTGATCTGGGTAATGTAGAGTAAAATGCATCCGGGGAATCATATTAAGCTTTTTGCATGACCAGAATAGGGTTATGACTCTAAATATTTTTCCATGCAGTATCGCGGAGTGCTTTGCTTTTCTTGTCTGTACAAGGTGGTCCAATCCATTAATTCATAGAAATAATCACACAAGGGAGGTTGGTTCCTCTTCAACGACTATTGGTTACATTGACTGGAACAACTGCTTAGCAGTCACACCTCAGCATCAGGATAGAATGTGTGGTCTGCAAGACATTGGTGGCCATATCATGAAAGTTCCAATAATTGGGTTTCAGGTCCTCCTTTGCATGCGTTTGGAGGTATGCACCTTGCTGATGGTAATTGCTGGCTGGTGTTGGTAATTTGGTATATATGTTATCAACAAATCTGTGATGGTTTCAAATTTCAGGGAACACCTGCTAGTGCTAGATATATACCACTTCCAGTTTTATTCTCTCCTCTTTTCCTACTGCACGTTGCTGGTGTGCTATTTGCTGCGTTTAGGTTGATAGAGAAAATTGTGCTTCTACTTCGGACAGGATCTGGCACAGGATTATATTTCAGATGTTCTTCAGAAGTCCATGATTGCTTCGGGTTCTTGCACCATGGTTCCAGGTAGTCACTTCTTTTTCTTTGTTTTCTCTTTTTTGACTAAAAAGATTGATACTTTAATAGTGTGCTCTTCATGAACTAATATGGTGAATTTTCGCTCTATAACTGAGGTTACTGGGTTGGTGGTCAATTGATGAGGGAAGTCGAGAAGAACAGGCCCGGCTTTACCATGAAGGGGCTTCTGGGTTAGTATGGTTTCTATTTTTCTTGTACCTTTTAGAGGTATGAAAATCACTTGTTAACTTTCCTCCTTCTCCTTCACACACCTCCTGGGGTGTGTTTGCACAATGACAATATGTGAATTTTTTCCCAAAATATTGTCTCACTTAGAAAGGGTAGATGAGCTAATAAACATGCTATAATATACTTGTACTGACAAAAGTAAAATCATTGAGGGTTGAAAAATATTAAAGTAAACAACTGCAGGAATAATTAAGAAACAAAAAAATGTTGTGCAGTCTTGGATGAGGTTGGCCCCTGATGTTGGAGGATGCCCCCTTATCCAATTGTTCCTGTTTTGCTGTCCTGTACACTTGTACAGCCAGACTACAAAACAAGAAACTCATTAAGGAAATAGTTTTTATGAAATTGTGAGTAACAATAGTGTAGTAGATGCTTTTTTCTGAAGAAACTTGAAACTCAAGAAAAGTCTTGTCAGATGAGCCTTCTGACAAATATAATTTTTGAGGCTTGCCTTGTGAAGTTGTTAAATTATGCTTTTGGATGCTAATATATTCAGTTTTTAAAGGATCAAACATACTCTTGAATTATTGCTAAAGTAGCCTTAGATTGCTTTTTTCTCTTTTCACCCGCATCTAGTGCTGATGTATTTAATTCCAATGCAGGTACAACACCTTTTGTGGTTACCCCCCAGAAATAGTTAGGAAGATGCCTAAGAAGGATCTTGCAGAGGAGGTGATTATGGCTTTTATATAAAATCATACATCCTTGTGCTACTCTTAAAGACATTGCTGCTTATGTTTGTTTGCCAATATTTCCTTTTTCTCTTTCAAATTTTTATTACCTTTCGTTAACATTCAGTTAATATGATACATTGGAAAAATCTCAAATATTATCTGGGACTTATGCTGCCTTAACATCTGTTATATTTGGTTCTCTTTCATCTCAGGTATGGAGACTTCAGGCAGCTCTTGGCGAGCAAACGGAAATCACAAAGTTTAGCCAACAAGAATTTGAGAGACTTCAAAATGTAACATTTCTAAACTTAACAATGTGTGCAGCGCTTGTCAATGTTTCAACAAAATGATGTTGCATGGATCTTTGTTAGTTTTGGTAGCTCCTCTTTAGTTTCTCTCTTTTATTTCTAACTTTATTGTTCTTTCATGATTTGTTTCTTCCTTGGCTGTCAGCTGATAAAACGAACCTAGGTTTTACTTTATTAATATTGTGTTTGTGGCTAAAATAGGAAAGTTAGGGTCTGTTTGGTATGGTTGTGGTTTTTGATTTTTAT